AACTTTTTTTTTTTTTTTTTTTTTTGATTATGGAGTTCACTGAGGACAAAGAGCTAGAAGGGGAGAGATACGTGAGGGCCACACACATATAAAAAGCCACCGAATTGACTATTTTTATGTTTATTTTTGAGAGAGAGAGCTTGCAAGCAGGAGAGTGGCAGAGGAAGAGGGGGACAGAGGATCTGACACAGGCTCCATGCTGACAGCAGGGAGCCCAATGTGGGGCTTGAATGCATGAACTGAGAGCTCATGACCCAAGCTGAAGTCTGATGCTTAACTGACTGAGCCACCCAGGCACCCCTTAATGGATGAGTTTTAAAAAGCTGAACTAGAAAACTTTCCATTTATATATTTTTAATTTTGAATAAGACATTCAGACTGTACAAATAAAGAATAAGGAGCCTGATCATCTTTCCGATGGATAAAATAAATGAAGGAGAGCATACAGTCCAGTTCTTACATCATAGCTGGGGGAAAAGAGGAGGAAGAGATTGCTGCGATAACTAGAAAGAGTGGGTCCCCTAGAAAGAGACTAAGAGGGAGGCAGACCCATAGTGAGTGGGGGTGGGGAGGCTCTCCTGTGAAGGATCAGCCTCATGTTGACTTGGCTCCCGGGGGGGCCTCAACACAAGTCACCCTGTAGCAAGTATTGTCTGGGCCGGGGTGGTGGGGACAACAGTCATTCCAAATAATGTCCAGCACCCGAGGCACAGCTTTTATTTTAGACTTTAATTTCTTAATTCGATTTTTAATAGGTAATACATTTACATGACTTCAAAACTAAAAAAGACACGAGGTTTCTGAAGAAAAGCACACCGGAAACTACAACAACATTGCTGTTTGTCAAGAGGTATGCTCTGTCTGTGGGCCAGAATACTCTAAGACTAAAAGGTCACTTCTCCCCACAATGGTTTACAGGTTCAATACCATTCCAGTCAAAATCGCAGAAGGCCTTTTTTTAGACAGAGATCGAAAAGTTGATTTTATTTTTTTATTAAAAAAATTTTTTTTAAGTCTTTAATGTTTATTTGTGTTGAGAAAGAGACAGAAAGCAAGCAGAGGAGAGGCAGAGAGAGAGGGAGACCCAGAATCCGAAGCAGGCTCCAGGCTCTGAGCTATCAGCACAGAGCCCGATGCGGAACTCGAACCCATGAGCTGTGAGATCATGACCTGAGCTGAAGTCGGATGCTTAATCGACTGAGCCACCCAGGTGCCCCTGATTTTATTTTTTTAAGGATTTATTTATTTTGAGAGAGAGCACAAATGGGGGAGAGGCAGACAGAGAGGCAGAGAGAATCCTAAGCAGGCTCTGCACTGTCACCACAGAGCCTGATGCAGGACTTGAACTCACCAAGTGTGAGATCATGACCTGAGCCGAAGTCAGAGGCTTAACGACTGAGCCACAAAGGTGCCCAGAGAAATTGATTTTAAAATGCATAGGGAAGGACAAAGGGCCTAGAATAGCCCAAATTGAGACAGAGCAGCGATTGGACTCCAGTGCCCTCAACCCAGACCACAAAGTCCAGCGTTCCTTGATAACTGAAACCCAGTGCCTCCTACTAGCATATCTTGCTTGAATGCGGAAAGAGGCTGCCTCCCAAAGGAGGGACTCCCCTACCAAGACTGGTGAAGACTGAACCAAACCAGTCTGCGCTAGGGTTGGGCCCCTGGCACTGAACTGTCACCGACTTTGCCCCTCATTATAATACTAAAAATCAAGCCTGGTGGAGATTTAACATGCCATTGAGACGTGCCATGCATGACAAAGCACGTTCTGTCCACTGCACCTGTGCGCCCAACTTCCTGTATCTCTCCCCACCTTTACCTGTTGCACCGCACTCCTTTCCTGCCTCAGCCTCTTTAAAAACTTTCCCCAGCCTTTGTTCAGAGACCCAGCATGAAGACCCTTTCCTCTGTGCTGTCTCCCTCTAGATCCGGCATAAACCAGAACTTCTAGTATGGCCTCTAGAAAATCTCTGTTCCTTGGAGAGCCCAAGGACCGGAGTTGGTAACAGATAGGGAACAAGTGGAACTCTCATACCTCACTGGTGGGAATGTAAAATAGTATACAGCCACTTGGGAGAACAGTGTGGCAGTTTCTTAAAATGTTGAAACACACGCCTATCATACAACCCAGGCATTCTACTCCTGGGTATTTGCCCAAGAGAAATCAAAGTGTGTGTCTGTATAAAAGCATGTTCGTAGCAGCTCTCTATGAGCTCAAAATTGGAAACTCAAATGTTCATTGATAAATAATGATTTAAAAAAAAAAACGATATATTCATGCAGTGGAATACTACTTGGCAATAAGAAGAAATTAATAATTGACTATGCTGATAAGAGAAGATAGACCCCCCCCCCACATATTACATACTGTATTATTCCATTTTTATAAAATTCTAAGAATACAAACTAACCTATAGTGACAGAAAGCAGGTGTTTGCAATGAGGAATGGTGCCTGTGGGGTGGATATTAGAGAGATTACATATTCATTTATGTATTACAGAGGTTAGCTCTTTGTCGATGATGTGAATTGCAAATATTTTTTCCAGTTTGTATTTTTTCTCTTGACTGACCTTTTTTTTGGGGGGGAGGGACAAAATAGAACTTTTTTTTCATGGAGTATAATTTGTCAGTCTTTTATTTGATAACTTCTGGATTTTAAGTCCTACTTGAACCAGCCTTTGGCATTTCGAGGTCATGAGGAATTCTTTCACGTTTTCTTCTAGATCTTCTATGGTTTTGTTCATACCTTCAGAGGGTCAGTCCATTTGGAATTTATTCTGGTACATGGTGTGAGTTGGGGGATATCGTTTTTTCTGCTTTTCTTTTAAAGTATTGGGGCACCTGCATGGCTCAGTCAATTAAGCATCCGACTCTCAGTTTCGGCTCAGGTCATGATCTCACATGTTCGTGGGTTCAAGCCCCATGTCGGGCTCTGAGCTGACATGTGGAACCTGCCTGGGATTCTCTCTCCCTCTCTCTCCTCCTCCCTTACTCACGTTGTCTCTGTCTTTCTCAAAATAAATAAATAAAAATTAAAAAATTAAAAAAATAATAAAATAAAGTATCAACACTTATTTTAGGGCACCTGGCTGGCTCAGTCGTTTAAGTGTCTGACTTCGGCTCCAGTCCTGATCTCAGAGTTTATGGGTTTGAGTCCCTGTTTGGGCTGTGTGAAGAGCCTGCTTCGGATCCTCTGTCTCCCTCTCTCTCTGCCCCTCCCCTGCTCTCTCACTTTCTCTCAAAAATGAATAGACATTAAATCAATAAAATATTGGCATTTATTTTGAAAGGAAGCTTTATTTTCTCATGGTGTGCTAAAACTATTAGCATTGTATGTGGAACAATGACTAAGTTTTAGAAGTTTCCTTTGGAACTTAGGGGCATCGGGTGGGACATTTATCACCATTGCTTGAAAGTCACCTTGAGAAGCACAAGCTGGTTACTCCACAGTATACAAAAGTTATCCTTGAAGCCAACCTTTATTTGAGGACTCATGGTGTTTCTTTTTTCTTGCCAAGTAGAAATTTGGTAGATGGGTGGAGCGCAGGAGCGGGGGTGGTTTCCAGTAGGTTGCTTAAGAAGAGAGTTTACAGTGGGGAGGGGGATAGAGGAAACAAAACAACAAAAGTAAATAGCTCAATAGAAAAAGTTCTGTTGTGTTACATTGCTCTTTCATAGCTCTTATCATAACTTCCATTGAACCGAAGATCAGAGAGAAGAATTGTTTTCTTGCTGGGAGCCATCCCTTCTTGGTATTTGCCCTGCAGCAGAGAAGTCTTTGATTTCCATTGTCCCAGTTTGAACCTGACTTAGATTTACCCTGTGTCGGTATCAGAGAGTAGCATTTCAGAAACAACACTGCCCTCAGACCTCAAGGCAGTAATAGTCTAATTCAGACAATACTGTTAACTTGTCTTCATTCACCCGATCATCCACTCTATTAATGTTTTCTGACCAGACACTGTCCCTGCGATCATGCAGCCAGCCAGCCGTCCTGTCCACGCGGGTGAGGAACAGGCCATTATCGCATACTGTAGAAAATGTCTCAGCCAGGGAAGCCCAGGGGGGTGAGGAATGTAGACAGGGATGCGGAGGAAGGGTGGTTCAGTGTGGGAGAGACAGAGGAGAATTCTGGAAGAGTGGATACCTAAACTGAGTTACGACACCTGGGTAGGAATAGGTCGGAAAAGGAGAGGGGATGAGTACTCTAGGGAGGGGTATGGCAAAGATAAAGGCTCAGACACGTGATGTGTTCTGGGAACTATAAATTCTAGCAACCAGAATGTAGGGGCAAGGAAAGAATGGGTGACAGACCCGGCTGGAGAGGTAAGCAAGGGCCGGATTGTGGAGGATTATAAACTGACTTTCCCTGGAGAGCAGTGGGGAGCCATTCCAAGGTTTCAAGCAAGGGAGTGAAAGGACCTGATTTATGTCTTAGAAAGCTCCCTGTGGCCTGATATACTCTGTATGTTTAAAGGCACAGGCTGGAGGGGAGCCACCAGAAGGCATGGATACCTCGAAGAGCTGCCTTCATTCACGCTGAAACCAACCACAGAAGCCAGGGAGAGCCTCCTAGGTCCAGCAAGTTCCAAGCTGAGCTTTCCCCAAGGTGGCAGGTCTGTCTGGTGAACCTGCAATTTTCTGGAAAAGTCAGCCCTGTCCGATAGCATTGCCAGGAAAGGCCGGAGGTCCAAACTTATGCTGTGTAGACAGGCCCATTGGGTTTGGGGTGGCGGGGTGGGGGGAATGGCTCAGGAAAATCAAGAGATCTTGTTGGGTGTCCAAAGAAAGAAGTCCTTTGGGTAGAGGTTGGAAAGAGGGAAGAAGCCTCTCACCCTGCTGTGAGAAGGGGCTCTAAACCCAGGTGAGACAGGAGGGTCAGGAGCACTAAGGCAAATGTCACTTGTAACTTTAAAACAAAGAGTCTGCATTCAGCGGCCCCCTCAGGAAGGCCAGTCATTTCCTGAGGGGATATCGGGCCGCCCCACGCTTCATTGTTTCCAGTTTCCAAGCAATGGCAGCCATTACCTGATCAGCACTATAGTCAGTCTCTGCTTGTGGTGCCAGAAGTTACTAGAGTGCTTTTCTCTACTTTCACAGGGCAGATTTATCTGTGCCACGAGGGAAGTGTCTTCTGCCCCAGGGGCATGGGCCAAAGGCAGAACTAACTGCCTGAAGTCTTTGCTCTCAGGATGCAGCTGGAGACAGCCCAAGACGGCAAGATGTGGCTCGGGGTGCTGCTGGCACTTATGCTTTGTGAGTTTTTATTCTCTTTCCACTGTCCTTACACTTCATGAGAATCAAAGCTGAGGAAATGAGCATATTTCTTCTGTCTTTTCTAGGTCCAGGCCTTGAAGGACAAGAAAACCGTAAGTTGTAAAGTTTCTACCTAGCTTCACTGTGTCTTTTCAGGATTCTTAAAACTCACAGCGAATTGCTTGGGTTTCATGTTTATAACAACTGAGAAACATATTGAGAGCTAAAGTCTATTTCTTTCTGGCATTTTTAGAAGGCTTTTAGAATAAAATGCCTCTTCTAAGCCAAGTTCTAATCAGTGTGTTCTAGGAGTCGCATACATTTTCTCTAGAAACAAGTGCATTGCTATTTGTGAGGATTGGGGAAGTGATAAAAAAGGAGTGATTCCATTATTTGTTTTACCATAAATTTCTTAATTTCATATTCTCCCCTATGCCCCATTGTTTTTGTTCAAATGAGGCATGATCAATTTGTTAGATTCTTGAAGACAGAACATAAATTGTTGTTACGACTTTTCTTCTAAATGATCTGAAACAGATCCTGGATTTCACTTCCCATCGGCCTGTGAGGCTATGATAATATTTGTAATGTTTTGTGCTTGTGGACAGGAAGGGGGGTTGCTTCTGCCCATCTTGGAGGTCTGGTTTATCATCCACTTTAGAGCTAATTTTGAATCTTTAAGACAAGTTCAGATGCTTGACGGGGTCTGGGGGCTAAATGGAGGGAGAGCCCACAGAAGAGGATCCCCTTGTCGCTCGGCAAAAGAACGGGGTTGACTGGATTGCAGACAGTTGTATAGTTCTTTGGAGATGATGTGCACGGATGACGCTAGTTTGCTGAGCCCAGGCTTGGAGCAGTGGCTCTGGGATTGGCCAGTGCGGCTACTAACAAAGCCAGTCTGTTGGTCTCCTGTCCATGTGCTCTGGTGGGCATTTGACTCCCAGGGCAACTCACGGAGACAGGATATCCCTGATCTTTGTAAGCATCCTAATGGACCGATAATGTCTCTATGACTCCAAGAAATAACCAACTCGCCCAGGTGAGAGCCAGTTAGCAAGGCATTGGCACTAGAACTTTCACTGTGTAAAATATGGGTCTCTGTCTAGAGCCAGAGGCCCAACTCAGATCTTTTTTAAAAAAAAATTTTTTTTAACGTTTATTTATTATTGAGAGACAGAGAGACACAGAGCATGAACAGGGGAGGGGTAGAGAGAGAGGGAGACACAGAATCTGAAGTAGGCTCCAGGCTCTGAGCTGTCAGCACAGAGCCCGACGTGGGGCTCGAACTCACAAACCTTGAGATCATGACCTGAGTCGAATTCGGTGGCTCAACCAACTGAGCCACCCAGGCTCCCCCCAACTCAGATCTTTAAAGCCACTTTCACTTTGCCTCTTTGAGACTTTTTTCCCCCGAATCTGTAGAATGGGGATGATAAGAGAATTGATCCCATAGAGTCTGTATGAGGATGAGATTAGATAAAAGGAAGTGACTTACCTGCGAGGCATGCGATGACTGACAATGGTTTAGTATCTGGTCTTAGCCCTCCACAATCATGGCTCCTGCACTGCCCCTGTGTGTCCGTTGCTGTTCACATACCTCAGCTCTTGTCCACACCATGCCCTGCAAACACGCAGGTTGCTGGGCTTCTGCTTCCCAGGACCTCCAGTCTCTCCCACCTCCCTACCTCACATGGGAAGGTATCACTCCCTTCCCGGGGTTCCTGGAGAAAGGCCTCTGTATCTTCAGGGAAGACCTCAGAACTGTAGGACTTGGAGCAGGGAGACTCTCCCACTGCTTCCTCAGGCTATCACCTTGTTTTACACTTGAGGAGATGGAGGCTCAGGGGCCACGAGGTACTTGTGTGTGATCAATGCTGGGTGTTAGCAGAGTGAAGACTAGGACCAGGTCTCCCGTTCCTCAGGTCACCCAAGACCGTGCTGACCACACGTTTGACACGCATGATGCCAGCTTGCTGTACATTGCCTGCTCTGTGGTCGTACTCCTTGGTCAGCCTTGGCCCTTTCCCTTCCTTCTATCCCAGTCTCCCCCACTCAGCCCCAGCCCGCCTGCCTGCCTCAGGAGATGACCTCAGCTCCATCCTTCACCTAGAAAACACTGCTGTCTGCAGGGAACTCCCTCTACTTCCCGCCCTGCCCTGTCTACAGGCTTATCTGTCTCCCCACCCATCCTCCCAGCTTCCCTCCCTGCTTCAGAGATGTCAGTCCCTGTGGCTGAACGGGGCCAGCCTGTCCACCTGGGCTCTGAGCCCATCACTCATCCGCCCCGATCTCCCTCTACCATTTTTTTAAAAATATTTTTTATGTTTATTTTTATTTTTGAGAGAGAGAGAGAGAGAGAGAGAGAGAGAGAGAGAGGGAGCACAAGTGGGAGAGGGGCAGAGAGAGCGAGACACAGATCCAGAGCAGGCTCCAGGCTCCAAGCTGTCAGGACAGAGCCCGATAAGGGGCTCGAACCCACGGAATGCAAGATCATGGCCTGAGCTAAAGTCAGACGCTCAACCGACTGAGCCACTCAGGTGCCCCTCGCTCTATCATTTATTTAGTTCACCATTCCACTTTCAGTATCTCTGTTTCCCACTCCGTTCTGGCTCTTTCTCCTCAGTCTACAAACACAAGTGGTAGTTTTTGGTTTGTTTGTTTTTGTTTTGTTTTTAGGAAAAAGAAAAAACACAAACAACCCACCTCCCTTCATTATCTTGTGTCTCCCCCCAATGAATCCACTCCCTTCCTCAAATTTCTGTCAAGGCTGGTTTATAACTGCAGTCTCTGCTTCCTCAGCTCTTAGTCTGCCCTCACTTAGTACTCTGGTTTTAGCCCCCACACCCCGCTGCCACCAGAATCCTCTCATTAAGGGCTCACCAAAGACCTTGTACTACCAAATGCCACGAACACTCCCATCCCTCACCTTTCTGGACCCCTTTGCTGCCTTTGCACAAAGCCTCCTTCCTTGACCTTCTAGACTCTTCCTTGGTGTTCTCCCACCCCTCTGACAAACCCTCCGCCTCTATTATTAATGACAGTACAGTCATAATGTGGTGCAAACATCTCCACTGTCTAGTTCCAGAATATTTTCATCACCCCAGAAAAAAAGTCCTTTCTCATCCATTCAATATTCTCAAGTCTACCCCTTCCCCCAGTCTCACTGCACCTGCCCTACCACAGTCTTTGTAGGTTTTCACCTGAACCATGGTCCAGGATGTTTATAGGCCTCTGGTCTCTCCCTCCAGCCCATAGTGATCTTTCTTTTTTTTACTTTATTTTTTTAAATTAAATTTTATTTATTTATTTATTTTTCAACGTTTATTTATTTTTGGGACAGAGAGAGACAGAGCATGAACGGGCGAGGGGCAGAGAGAGAGGGAGACACAGAATCGGAAACAGGCTCCAGGCTCCGAGCCATCAGCCCAGAGCCCGATGCGGGGCTCGAACTCACGGACCGCGAGATCGTGACCTGGCCGAAGTCGGACGCTTAACCGACTGCGCCACCCAGGCGCCCCTAAATTTTATGTTTTTAATGTTTATTTGTTTTTGAGAGAGAGACAGAGACAGAGCACGAACAGGGGAGGGGCAGAAAGAGAGAGGGAGACACAGAATCCAAAGCAGGTTCCAGGCTCTGAGCTCTGAGCATAGAGCCCGATGCAGGGCTCGAACTCATGAACTGTGAGATCATGACCTGAGCTGAAGTTGGATGCTTAACTCACTGAGCCACCCAGGCACCACCTATAGTGATCTTTCTAAAGCTCCAATGACATTCTGTCACCCCAACCGCCCCCCGCGCCCCCCCCCCCCTGCCAAATACCCTTAGGCAGGTCCAGCTTGTCAGTACCCTAAGAAACACCCTCCATTCTTGCACCTCCTTCCTAGCTTGCCTGGCCCCTCGGGCCCCATATTCTGGTTTCTGTAATTGTATGTGCCCAGAATACATTGATGTCTTGGTTCTAGGTAGTTTTGCCATAAACATCTTTGCTATAAGCATTTTTGCTGCATAACTACTAGGCCGGAAGGTAGTTTTATCATGCAAGGCTAAAAAAATAATTGGTTGACAGCTGGTTTTAACAACTGGTTGAGTTTGGTTTCATTTCTCCATTGACATGGTGCTCTGTTTTACCTTCTATACATCTTAGTCTTCATGATGGTCTATACAGTCGTGTAGAATTTTGAACCCACGCTTCCCATAGAACTTTGGAACAGCTATCAATGGACATGTGACAATCTTCCAAGAACAAACAACAGGATAGGAGGCAATACACTTTCACAGTGTAGTACAAAACTCTGTTACAAATATGCATCCTAGTATTTGGAAACTATACCTCTCTCTCTCTTTTATGTTTTTTTTAAGTAGGCTCTACACCCAATGTGGGGCTTGAACTCATGACCCAGAGATTAAGAATTGGATGCTCTAGGGGCATCTGGGTGGCTCAGTGCGTTAAACATCCTACTTCGGCTCAGGTCACGATCCCAAGGTTCATGAGTTCGAGCCCCGCGTCTGGATCTGTGCCGACAGCTCAGAGCCTGGAGCCTGCTTGGGATTCTGTGTCTCCCTCTCTCTCTGTGCCCCTCCCCCACTTGTGCTATCTCCCAAAAATAAATAAACGTTAAAAAAATTATTAAAAAAAAAAAAGAGTTGGATGCTCTACCAACTGAGCCAGCCAGTCACCTCAAAACTATACCTCTCTTAATGAGGAAGAAGCTTTAGTAAAGAAAGAATGAGGAGACCCATCAATAAGAAAAAAAAAAAAAAAAGTATAACACTATGAATGAAAGACTTTGAAGACAAATACTTAGGTACAATCCATGAAATAAAATCAGTTATTTACATAGAATTGGCATGAATCTACACACATTTTAAATGTATTCAATTATTTTTTATAATAGTTTTTCTGATTTTGTTATTCATTTTTCATGTTTTGTTATGTCCTCTTACATGAATGTCCCTCTTTTATTTTCCGTGATTTTATCTTTTACGGCCAAATGGCTTTAAGACAAATTAGTTAGGTGTTGAAAATGTTTGCAGCAAAGATCCTTACCATGAAAATACCAAACATGTGACCTTTCATGCCCCTGTGCCCTGGAACATGCTGTTCTCCTGCCT